TCCTTCTCCCTCTCTCTTCCTCTCCTTCTATCTCTCTATCTCCCTCTATCTCTCCCTCTCCCTCCTCCCTCTATCTCCCTCTAACTCTGTCTATCTCCCCCTCTCTCTCTCTCCATCTCTCCCTCTATCTCTATCTCCCCCCCCACTCTCTCCCCCTCTCCCAGGTGCCTGTTTCTCTGTCCTCACACCTCCGTCTTCCAGCCTCCAGTCCCTTCGGGAAAAAAAAGAGACAAAACGAACGGGGGAGCTGCCTCCATCCTCTGCGGCTCCAGGCCTCCAAGCAGCGACTCAGGACGTCAGCTGGCACCGCGGGCATCGGTCACCCCCTCCCCCCAAAGTCCCCCCCTTCTCTGCCCTCCCTGATCTTGGCCTGAACCCCCTCCCTCCCCCCTCAATAGCTTGCCGGGGCTGACCCCCACATCCTTTAATAAACACCGTGAAATCCTCCTGAAATTCTCAATTCTTGCCTGGGCTCCTTACCGGACGATTCGAAGGGGGGTTTCTTTTCGAACGGAGTTACAGGTAGTCCTCGACTTACAGCTGTCCATTTATGCGACCGTTCGAAGTTGCAGCAGCGCCGGAAAAAAAGTGACTTGGGGCTGGTCCTCACACTTACAACCAATACTTGACTTACGACAGGTCCTCACACTTACATCTGGTTCTCATACATGGCCAGTCCTCACACTTACATCTGGTCTTCATACTTACAACAGCCAGTCTTTACATGTAAAACAACCAGTCCCTGCACTTACAGCCAGTCCTCTCACTTACAACAGACAGTCCTCTCATGTACAACAATAGGTCCTTGCACTTACAGCCAGTCCTCACACTTACAACAGCCAGTCCTCTCATATACAATACTAGGTCCTTGCACTTACAGCCAGTCCTTACACTTACAACCAGTCCCCATACTTACAGCCAGTCCTCACACTTACAACAGCCAGTCCTCACATGTACAACAGTCAGTCCTCGTATGTACAACACCAGGTCCTTGTACTTACAGTCAGTCCTCACACTTACAACAGCCAGTCCTCACATGTACAACACCTGGTCCTTGCACTTACAGCTGGTCCTCTCAATTACAGCATGTCCTTGCACTTACACCCAGTCCTCACATTTACAGCCGGTCCTCACATTTACGACCCTCACAGCATTTCCCCCCCCAGTCACATGAACATAATCCAAGCATTTGGCAACCGACATGCGTTAACGATGGTTGCAGTGTCCACCCCCTGGGGTCGTATAATCACCATTTGGGACTTTTCTGGCCGATTTCCCATCAGCAAAGCCCATGGGGGCATCTGGGTTCACTTAATGACCACAGGTTCACATAATGACGATCTGTGGTGATTTGCTGAAGATTGGTAGCAATAAAGGTTATGAAATCAGGGGCGAGTCGTTTAACCGCTGCTTGGCTCATCACCTCACCACCGCTGTCAGGAGGAAATTCTGGTCCCCAATTATGGTCGTAAGTTGAGGATTACGACCTGTTAAAAATACTGATTTTTTTTTTTTTGCCAAGAGAAAAAATTATAAATTTTCACGGACTGGTGATGGACATTTAATCTGGATATTGATTTTGAAGGAAGTGCGTAAGATAAATATTGGGGAAGGGTTAATAGGGATCTCTAATTCAGAGATAGGCCAAGTTGGTTAATTAATAACCTGGTTAGTCCATCCTTAACCTCAGTAGCAGTTCGGGTCAGTGATTCTCAACCTTGGCTAGCTGGGGAATTCTGGGAGTTGTAGTCTTAAAGTGGCCAAGGTTGAAAAATAGTGTTTTACATAATTTAAAAAAATAAACCCCTTTAATCACAATTTTAACAGTTAATCATGATTTTATAGTAATAGAGGAGTTTTGACTTTGGCCAATAGGATGCCAAACATTTACAGGGTGGGGTCCAGGACTATTGACCCTGGGGGCTTGCTTTCGACATGAGAGCCAGTTTGGTGTAGAGGTTAAGGTGTTGGTCTAGAAACCAGGAGACAGTGAATTCTAATCCTGCCTGGGCATTGGCAGAGGCTAGGTGACTTTGGGCCAATCACTAGGAGACTGGGAGTTCTAGTCCCACCTCAGGCGTGAAAGCCAGTTGGGTGACTTTGGGCCGATCACCAGAGAGTTTTAGCACTGCCTCAGATATGAAAACTGGCTGGGTGACTTTGGGCCAATCACTAGGAGATTGGGAGTTCTAGTCCCACCTCAGGCATGAAAGCCAGTTGGGTGGGCCAATTACCAGGAGACTGGGAGTTCTAGTCCCACCTCAGGCGTGAAAGCCAGTTGGGTGACACTGGGCCAATCACCAAGGAGTTTTAGCACTGCCTCAGGTATGAAAACTGGCTAGGTGACTTTGGGCCAATCACTAGGAGATTGGGAGTTCTAGTCCCACCTCAGGCATGAAAGTCAGTTGGATGACTTTGGGCCGATCACCAGGAAGTTCTAGTCCCCCATGAAAACTGACCGGGTGACTTTGGGCCAATCACCATGAGATTGGGAGTTCTAGTCCTGCCTTAGGCACAAAAGCCAGTTGGGTGATTTGGGGCCGATCATCTGGAGACTGGGAGTTCTAGTCATGCCTTAGGCATGAAAGCCAGTTGGGAGAACCTTGGGCCACATTGGAGACCGCATTAAGAAACGTTAGACCTTGATGATCCTAATTTAGCAATGACATGGTAAGTTGATGTCTCTGGAAGCACTAGACAGGTTCTAAACCATGATCCATGCCAAATCTCAGCTTGTCCTTCATTACGGGTGATTAACCTTACAGGCAATACCTCTGTGCATAGGCAGAGAGGATCCCATTCCCTCTTCCACCCATCCTAAGCACACCTCATCCAACGGGACCAAAGGAAGGTAGAAAACTACATGAAATGCTTTGCAAGGAAGAAAAACCTAAAACGTTTTTAAAAAATGCAGCCAGCTCCTGGTGTGAATCACATTATATATATATATTTTCCCCCCCTTTGCTAAACCCAAAGGCCAATCTGGGTTGTTTTGCAGTTTTTCTTCCTTGCAAAGCATTTCCTGTGGTTTTCTACCTTCCTTTGCGGCGTCCCTGGGCATTTCATTTATGGCAGATGTTCAGAAGCGCTATTAATCTGGCTCCTTTTGTTGGCATGGGGGAAAACACGGCCGTGAGAGAGTTCAAAAAAGCAAAGCACGGTGGGTAGAGAAACCGTGGGAAGACCATGCTTCGCCCCGACAAACTCCATTCAAACTCCCTTTTAAGAAAAATAACCTGGTTAGCCCATCCTTGTAAACATCACAGATCAGGGTTTCAATTCCCAGAATTCCCCGGCCAGAGTTGAAATCCACCCATCTTAAAATCACTAATTTGCTAATCCCAATGCTGGAGAGGCAACTTTTTATTTTTTTTATTTGTCAATTGCTTACAAGATAATAGGTATAAGTAAAAACATAGTTATCAATACATGGATACATATAAGAAAAATAAAAAAATAAAA